AGGTCCTAAAAGTCACAAAAAATAGCCTGAACCAAGCCTCAAAAATACATAGAGACATGCTCCTTTGGAAGGCCAAAAATGCATGCAAACAAGAACGAAAAGAGAGGGGGGCCACACCCTCTGTTTTGAGGCCTCAAGACCTCATGCCTACCACTAAAAATCTACTGGATTTCAGTGGTTAGAAGGCCAAACCAAGGCTAGCTCGGAGGCCTTAAGGCATGGCTCAAAACAAGGCCAAACAAGGCCAACAAGAGGGTTCAAGACCATCAACAGCCAAAAGACCTCAAACAACCACCAAAAGCACTTCAAAACATGACCTTTTTTAGTTGAAAGCAAGGCCTAAAACAATATGAAAGGATGGGCAAAATGAGGTACAAAAAAAGTGCTAAAATGGGGAAAATACTCACCCTTGAAGACCAACTTCGAGATCAGCAACCTCAGGGGGTAAAACCTTACTTTCAGAGCTCAAGAAGTCCTCTCAAGAACCTCAAACCAATGGTGGTGGTATATGTCTATGTGTTGTAGTGTAAAAGTGCAAGGAAAATGGACTAAAACACAACAATATAGAGAGAGTTGTATCTCTTGTAAAAGTGCTGAACCTCTGCTAAGGAGAGAGGCTCTCTCCTTATATAGAAGAAAGGCAATGCAAAGCTTCTTCAAGAAGTTTGGCAAGAGTTATGAAGGGTAGATTACAGGAATCCAACTGGCTGAAAATATTTGGAGTAAAACCAGCTGAGACAGGGGTTCTGCCCGCCATCAGTGATGGCCGGCAGTGGCTCATTAATGGCCGTCAGGCTCACTAAATGGCCGGCAGCAACAGGTGAAGGCCGACATGGCCAAAAGGGGGGCCGGCGGTGCACCCAAAAACTAATTCTGAAAGGACCAAGTCATGGTCCATGAATGGGGTAGAAAGGATACAGGGTTCGGAAAGCTTAAACCTGCGACGTTCCGCCGCGAAAGTCGAATGCCCGACGAGCAATCGAACTTGTGTCTGGATGTACCTGTAAGCATAACCGAGTCTTGAGGACGGTCAAAAATGGGGTGTCTACACAGTGTATGTTTGAAATTTCAAAATTAAGTGCCTCTACATATCAAAATTTTGATTAAAATGTGATAAATTAAGGCTAAAAGAGTGAAAAAAAATGCATAAATTTGAGTTTTAGAGGGTCTGCTAATGATTTTTGAAATTTCACAGCCACGACGCCCGATACCTGATACGTACCGGTCGATACTACCGATACCGATACTCCGCGATCGATACCGTTACGTTACCCGATACCGCGATTTAGAACTATGCCCACTAGTGAACCACCAGTCTCTTGGACAGGCATGTACCCACTTAATTAATCCATAATCAATATCATCGTTGATTGAATATATATATATATACTTTTTATATATGAATGTTTCATTTTACTCCAAAGTAGTTCATTCAGAAACCTGGTGGTGGTGAGATGTTCTCAATTCCCAATCATTTACAAAATGTAAATTTAAAAGATCTCAACTAAGTCATGGGAATGGGCTGGGACTTAAATATAAGACCCAAACCATGAGTTTTGACTGAAGAATAGGTTAAAAATTCTTTCAAAGCCAACGTTGACTTCGGGTAAGTCCAAAGCCCAGCTTGGCCATATGAGCCTAATTTGAGTTTTAATTCAAATTTCTTTCTTATTTTAAAATTCAAAATTTATTTATAATACAAAATTTTAAAACGCATTACAAAAATTAGATTTTTATATTGAATCATAAAACAATTAAAAATAAACATTATTTATTGAAATGTAAAATTAATACACATATTATGGTTATGTTATGAAATTATATGTATCATTAATCTGGTGACAATATAATTATTAATATCATAGTTGGCATTCTACTCACTTAATTTATTAGTTTTAATTTTATTCTTTTATTAAAAATGCCCATTGGAATGAGCTGATGGGCTGGCCCACGGACCCTCCCTTTGGGCCTAAGAGCATCTCCAATGCACTAGGCATATAATACTTGTTAGTTAAAATGCCTAGTGTGATTTATTTTTTTCAATTCCAATGCACTAGGCATATGATTAGGCATTTTGGCTCAACTCATATTCACTAGTTACATGTAGCTAGCCTTCAACGCTAGGCAAAATGTGTTCAATCATTAGGATCATTTCCCTCCATCTTTGTTATTGACGTGGCATTCTATAAAATTAATAGTATTTGGATGAATAGCTAAAATAAAGAGCATGGTTGGAGTAAAAACATAAAACAGTTGATAGGCAAAATAAAATATATACTTTATAGTAATATTTAGATAGGTAAAATGCCTACTACCGTTGGAGATGCTCTAAGCTTAACAACACTCATTTATTGGTTTGGAAGTAAACTATTTTAGTAATTTTTTTTTTTTTGTTAAAATATGATGTGAAACAAGTTTGGGTTAGTTTGAATTTTTATAAGAAAAAAAGGTGCAAAAAATAGCTACAAAAGAGAATTTTTGACTTTTTTGTATAATTTTTGGACTTTTTGACTACAATCTATGTTGCCAAACGAACCCTTAAAGTCAAGGAGTCATGGCTCTCCTAGTAATGCAGGCCTTTTAATTTTAATTTTTTATTTGAGTTTTTGCTCCATTGTCTTTCCCACATGTTGACATTTTATTTTGAAGTTTGATATTCCTGGAAAATTTCCTAACTGAAATTCAGTTTTGATTTTTGTTTGCAGCAAGATGATAAAGAGTTCCTGAAGTCAGTGTTTGCCTCTGATGAGTTTGACGAGGATGATAACCCTGGATGACTCTGAATCCAATTCCAACCATGAAAAAGCTTCTGTACCTATCTAGTAGTTGCATCATATTTTGTACTTATTACTAGCATATCATAGCATCATGCATATAAGCATATTATCTATCTGTAAATGATAGTAGAGATATGGACTCATATATATAGTAGCTCAATATAGAGCTTGGATATGGTTTCAAGAGTATTTCGAGCTTGCTTGGAAATAACTGACCTTCAATTTTGCAGCTCTATGTGGTTAGCCTATAGAAATGACTTCGTATTTGGACGTATATATAATTAAGAAATTAGAACTTGCTATGTGGAAGGTGTTTGCTTAGTAACACACAAACACACACACACACACAAAAAAGACGAAAAAGAAAAGAGATTGCGTGGTTGAAATTTATTTTAAGAGTGATTCACAACATATCCAAGATGAATCTTTAGTCGTACGATATATTTTTATGTACATATCTTTGTATTTTAATTACATGCTCTGTCTAGCATTTTTGTTGGCAAGGCCTTGAAAATTGTTTTCTTATGTTTTCAAAGATAAAAAAGCATAGAAAATTTGGAAAAGATTCATTGTTTTCATTTTTTTCTTGGCTAATTAAAAAAAAAAAAAAGTTTGAATGGTTCAAAAAAAAAAAAAAAAAAAGAAAAAAAAGAGGGTTATTTCAGGAACCTCAATTTAAATTTCAATTTTGTTATTTCTTTAACACCTGAAATAATTTCAAATTTACCCCCACCAACCCTGTTTTTTTTTTTAACTGACAAAATAAAACCTTTATTGATAAACAAAAAACTCATTACATCAAGAAAGGAAAAACGATGGGTGCGAAAAACATTTTAGCGAGACATACCAATCACAACTATGTTTTTATCCATATGCCCGCCCAATCCCTTACTAGTACACCATCAAAAGTTGGTGAGCTACCAACCAAAGCCAAGAAAAAACAACAATTGACATAACCCCACCAACCCCTTAACCACTAGTTGTCATCCCTGGCACTAAACCCAACCAACCGCCTCTCCCTTTCTTTCTCGATGCTTGCTAACCCCTGGCATTTCTTTGTTGCTACCCATAATCCCTTCCTTGCCCCCAATTCTCACCGCTTGAAACACACATTCCACCACCTTCCTTCCCCTCCTTGCTTCCCTCTCATTACCCAAAAGCTCCATTTCCCTTCCATTTGCGAACTCCAAATCCCCTACCTTCCTCTCCCAACCCCAATGCCACTTCTTTCATTACCCAACCTTGACCACCTACCACAATTGATTTGCAGAGTTTAGAGAGAGAGAGAGAGAGTTTCATAGAACATAGATCTATATATCGGCCAGTATTTGTACCAAAAAATCAAAGCACCGATTCAGATATGGACCGGTATACCGGTGAGAATAAAATTCCCAACCGTAGCATCCGATTCCTGGTACCACTACAACAATTTACACTTTTAATGACTTTTTTGTTAGTCACTAAAAGTGTATTTTTCATCCCTGAAAGTATTAGCTACTGAGAAAAAAAGGCCACCAAAGCCATGTCACTAAATGATTTGGCGACTAAATAAACTATTGCCGTACTTATAAAAGAATCAGTGACCAAATAACTTAGTCGCCAAACCCCAAATAATTTGTCGTCGTAAATTAACATCTAGTCGCTAAAAGTAACTTTAAACAGATGCCATGTTATATTTTAGCGACGTATAAAAGCGTCACAAAAACATTCTTCAGTGACGAAACAAATTAGTTGTTGAATACCAAATCTTTTGGTGACCAATCAATGTTTTTGGTTGCTAAAAAATCATATCCTATTTCACATAAACTTTTAGCAACCAAAATAAATTGTCACCAAAAGTAAATTAACAATTAAAAAACCTATCATCAAAAATTCATTATTTATTTATTTATTTATTTTGACAATTTCCATGTTCGATTCATAAATCTATAAGAAATAATAATAATCCAAATCCAAATCCAAATCCAAACTTACTTTTCCTGTGCATCATTTCTACACATGCAATCAAAAAAAAATTAATACGTTGTTTAAAGCATCCAAACTATAAACTTAATTCAAAAGTAGTAGCATATTAAACATATCCGAAAAATCCAAGATAAGTAAATTCTTTACAATTAGAAACATCAAACATGTACATAATGATTCCAAAAAAACTTCCAAGCTACAAAATCCTATGACAATATATCCAAAAATTCAAAATGTAATCCTTTGACGCTCCTCGAATTACGTTCCATCTATTGTCAATCTGTCAAACATATGAAAAAAATTACAATATTGCAATATTAGTAATAAAATTCTTGATCTTAAAACTATGATATACCAAACACAAAAGCGACCTCTAATTTTGAAAATTACAATCTTCAAAATGACCTAATGTATTAAACAAACTATAATTTGATCCAAATTAAAGAATAATGATTGAGGATTTGAACGGCTTGAGATGTAATGAATTTGACTACTTTAATACCGAGTGTTGTCATGAAAATTAGGACAAAACACAAACTCATAGAATTTCTACCTTCTAAAATATACCCTAAAGGATAACCAATAAGTATATTTGAAACATATAAGCTGCAAACAAATATAACAAAACAACAAAGATTACATTTTTTAAGGTAAAAAAAAAAAGGAGGAAAACAAAGTTGGAAATTTTAAAGGATTAAAGAAGGTAGGTTGGCCCTTCGGTGAAGAAAAAAGTTGTTGTTTGTGTTGTGTCCACACTACACTGGTTTCTCCATCTTTCTTGGAGAGAAACAAGTGTTCTTTGATCCAACCACCAACTATACACCCCCTTATATTATTATTAATAATATATACATATATATATAATTGATGATGGATTGTAATGATAATGAAGTATTTTCTTTGCTCATCGTCAAACAAATCATTATCTAAAGGCCCAAAAACCTGTAAATAAAACTCTTTAATTATAACTACAAGAATCAAAAAGTAAAATAAATTTTACACAACAATATAATATATATATATAATTAATATGTGTTCTTTTAAAAATAAGAAAAGCCTCTAATTGAAAATTTCATTTTAGGCCTCAATGGTGGTAACTGGAAAATAAATAAAGAGTTCAAAGGACAGTCTAGGAGTGTTAATTTGATGACTTCAAATTGCAGCTTCAGGTAAACTCTAATGATGAGTAAACGTTGTGGTATCAAGTTTTTCAAATCAAAAAACACCCTTTGTCAAAAAGCAAGGTAAAATGTCTCCCTAGGTCACTAGAATAGTCTCAGAAATCTAGCACTGGTCATTCATATGAAAAGTTCATTAAATTAGGCTATTTCATGAATCTAGCACTAGTTTCAAACACATGAGACACATAAATCCACTAAGAAAGCAATATGAGTAAACAGAACATAGCATATCTAAACGACAAATTCCAGGCATGGTCAAAAGAGGCTTGAGCACTAACCAAGTGTCATTTGTTGTTACAAGTGTCTTTTAAGTTGCAATGAGGTCCTCGTATGTTTTTATTCAAACTAAAAGATACTTTATGTTCCATCTATTTTTCGATTGAATAAAATTAGGAAGATGAATGATTACTTCTTCTGGGATGTTTTCAATTTCTCCCATTTACAAATTGTGTGTTGGTAGTGTACGTCTTGTTCTGCACACAAGTAGGTTGGATGGGTCAAGTACATTCCACCCAAAGTCCAATTCTTTGGGTGGTTAGCTTGGAAAAATATAGTAAAGACCACAACAGCAACAGTAGTGGTAGCTACAATAGTGGCAGTGCAGCAACAGCACATCAACATCAACAGCTATAGCTATCATCGAAGTAATGTCACCAATAGGGGATTGCAATACCTTCACTCCTCTTAAAGCACTTTTTACAAAAAGAATGTGCTTCATGCCAACTGTAGATAAACATCTAAGAAAAAAAAATTGAATTATCATGCTCTCGATGAAATTAAAACAAAAATAGAAAAACAAAAAATGAAATAACCATGATAATTATGAGTGATCTCAACTAAGGCAGTGAGTGTGAGTGCATAGGGGAGAGACAGAGAAGCCAAGGGCTGGGCTATACTACTGTTGAGGGGGAGAGACCTAGTGGAGGTGTGCTCAAGGTTGAGAGGTGCTCTAGGTTGTTCCTGGGCATACCTTATGGAAATGAATGTGGTATGAGCCTGAGGGACCATAGCGAGGTAAGGCTCGTCCAGGCAAGCCGTGGTGCTGCCAAGTATATTGAGAGTCATGGATCAGTTTCCTTATATTTTGACTAATTAACTTTGGTGCTTTGGACTGCTAGAGCGGCAGTTGCATTAGTGAGCTTAGCAACCATACTTGTGTATATGCCCCCTACTTAGGCTAGGCATATAAACCCCATTGTGGTGCCACATGGGCCTGCTACGTTGAGATGATGGTGATGATGACATGGTGCCCGTAGAACTCGCTATGTACAAGGAGCAATGTAGATACCCAAAGGAATAAAACATAACATAAACATATTCACATGTAGCCTTTTGATTAGTATTCATACTAGAAGGTATAAACTTCTACCTGTCGGAGCCCTTCATGATTCAGAATAAACTGTGTACGTTTCCAATCACTGTGGGGCACAACTGGATTTCCCACAGGTGATGCAGTTAGATATCCAATCTTTAGATAGGGTAAAGGTATCTGTCAATGAATAAATCTTGTTAGAACTTCGATATGAAGAATGATTTCCCATCTAGCCACATGAAATGAACACTTGCAGTGAGGCATGATTGACCAGAAATACTTAACATGCAAGTCACGGGTACGAGGTCCAATAATTACATTAAGAAGTATTGTGGGGTAAGGATTTCAGCAATGACACTGTTGGGGTGACAATGTATATTTGATAAGAACTTGCGCAAGCTAGGAAGGGAATTATAGAAGAAGATAAGGTAGAAATGCCAATATAAGAAAACTTCTTCTTATTATGTTGAGTATAAGTCAAGATTCTTGCATATATACATTTACAATTAGCTCATGGCTTTATATAGAGAACATCATCATCTTAACCTCTTATAGAAAGGTTCTAGAAAGGTTTGATATTTTCCAACATTATTATACATTTCTAGATATTTCTATCATTATTAAATATCTAGATAGATTATTTCAATCTATTAGATATTTCTAGATAAATATCTTCATAAATTATTCATTAACTACTCTAGATTTTTCTAGTTAAATATCTTCATAAATTATTCATTAACTACTCTAGATTATTCTAGATTACAAATTATATTTTAACACCCCCACTTAAGTTGTAATCTTCATGCATTCTTGAAACTGTAAGAATTTTTCTGTTGCCACTGCTTTTGTCATGATATTTGCTAATTGCTCCTATGTGTTGACAAACTCCAATTGGATTTCACATTTCTATACATTGTCTCGAATAAAATGATGTCATAGTTCAATGTGCTTTGTCTTGCCATGGAATACTGGATTTTTGCTTATAGCAATGGCTGACATGCTATCACAAAAAATTGTAGTGGAACCTTGCTCTTTGTGCTCCATATCTGAGAGAATTCTTCTAAGCCAGACTGCTTCACAAGTTGCATCGATAGCTGCAATATATTCTGCTTCTGCGGGTGATAGAGCTACAGTCTTCTGCTTCTTGGAACTCCAAGAGATAATTTTTTAGCCAATACAAAATACATAACCTGATGTACTCTTTCGATCATCCAATGATCCTGCCCAATCACTATCACTAAAGCCAATGAGTTTACTGTCATTTTCTTTCACATACCTGATGCAGAGATTCTTGGTCCCTTGAAGATATCGAAGAATTCGCTTTGCTGCTGCATAGTTTAGCTTGCTCGGCTCATGCATAAATCTGGAAATAAGATTTATAGAGTAAACAATGTACGGCCTTGTATTAGTGAGATAATTTAGTGAACCAACCAATTTTCGATAGGTGGTAGCATCGACTTTCTCTGCTCCATCATTTACTTGCAACTTATCATTTAAAGAGATTGGAGTAGAAACTGATTTGCAGTCAGACATATAAAATTTCTTCAATAAATCTTTAAGATATTTTCCTTGAGAGATAAATATTTCTCCCTTTGACTGCTTTACTTGAATAACGAGAAAATATCTCATAAGTCCCAAATCAGTCATCGTGTATTCCTTCATCATGGTTTTTTTAAATTCTTCTACCATTGATGGTTTAGTTCCTGTATAGATTAAATTGTCAACATATAGGCAAACTATGAGAAAGTCTTGCATACCTCCTTTCTTGATGTATAGTGATGGTTCACTTTGGCTTATTTGAAAACCATTTTGACAAAATACTTGTCAATGTTGCACTTCCAGGCTCGAGGTGCTTACTTTAGTCCATAGAGTGCCTTCCGAAGTCGGTAAACCTTATCCTTCTTTTCCTTTGATTATGTACCCTTACTGTTGTTCAACATAAACTTCTTCTTCAAGCTCGTCATTGAGAAAAGCTTATTTGACATCTAGCTAATATACTAGTAGCTCATTTTGTGCAACCAAGGCAAGAACGGTTTTTATTATCTCCATGCAAACAACTGGAGCAAATGTTTCATTGAAGTCTACTCCAGGTTGTTGTGAGTAGCCTTTTGCAACTAAACGAGCCTTATACTTCCGGATGGAGCCATCTTCTTTATATTTGGTCTTGTAGACCCATTTAAGTCCGATCACATCTTTGTCTTTGGGTAGGTCAACAAGATCCCAAGTGTAATTCTTTTCAATAGTTTCAATTTCTTCATCCATTTCCTTTCTCCAAATTTCTTCTTTCATAGCTTCTTCAAAAAACAGTGGCTCACAAGTAAAAAAATGCTACATCACAAGTTTCATATATCTCTCTTAAGGAAAGTACCTTTCTTGGTATTGTTTCGAATTCTTCAGATGAAGAGCATCTTGGAGAGTCATTTCTTGGCCTTGGGATTGGGGTGTTATATGGGCTTTGGTTTGGGCTTGATTAGTGAGTTGAAGATCTTTCTCCTTCTATTGTTTCATTAAATTCAATTTCCTTTTGCTTTATGATGGAGTTATCACCCCACTTCCATGCTGTCATTTCATCAAATATGAGATCTCTAGAGATTACCAATTCATCTTTCATTGAACAGATGATATCCTTTTGATTCGTCACTATATCCAATGAATATATATTTCTCTCATTTCTCATCAAATTTTTCTCTTTTTTGGGAAGGAATTAAGGCATAAGCAAGACAACCGAATACTTTGAAAAGATTTACCTGGGGCTTCTGTTTGTGCCATGCCTCATATGGTGTTTTGTTTTGGACAACCTTCGTGGGAGATCGGTTTAGAATATAAACAGCAGTATTGACAGCTTCAGCCCAAAATTTGTTAGGAAGACCTTTGTCTTTTAGCATGCTTCATGCCATCTCCACAATTGTTCGATTTTTCCGTTCTGCAACTCCATTTTGTTGACGAGAGTGTCGAACTGTGAGTTCTCTTTTAATCCCATTTTCTTTACAATAATTCATGAATGGAGTATAAATGAATTCTCCGCCACGATCTATCCTCAACATTTTGATTTCATTGTCACTTTGCTTTTCCACCAAAGCTTTAAATTGTAGAAAGACTGAGAAGGCTTTTGATTTTCTAGCAAGAAAATAAATACACATCATTCAAGTATAATCATCAACAAAGAAAATATCTATTGTTACCAAGAGATGGTGTTCGGCAGGGCCCACAAATATCTGCATGCACCAACTCCAAAGGTGCTTTGGCTCTCCAAGAAATCTTTGGAAATGGCAATCTATGCATTTTTCCATATTATTGATTTTGCCATTGTGAGGAAATCCTACACCATATCTTTTTCTTTTAATAATTTCATGCCCTTGTAATTTTGATGTCCATATCTAAGATGCCATAGATATGGATCATTGATGTTTTCACTTTTAAGGGCAAAATTATCATTTAGTGGCATTACAAGAGGAAAAACTTTGTTTGGAGTCATTTTGACTTTTGCCACTATATGAATTTTTTTTTTTTTTTGGTAAGAGATTATGCATTCATCATTATTAAAATTTACTGCATAACCTATTTTTATTAATTGCCCCACACTTAATAGATTTTGGGTTAGCCCCGGAACAAAAAGAATGTCAGAAATTAATTTTTTGTTACCTCCCTTTATATGGACGGAGATGACTCCATTTCCTTCAACATTTTGTAGTTTTCCATCACCAAGCTTTACTTGAGAAGAGACTTTTTCATCTAGTTGCACAAAAATCTTGTGATTTCCTGTCATATGATTACAGCATCCACTATCCAAATACCAAATATTTTATGACTCTTGTTGGGCATTCATGCAAGAAAATAATTGTTCTGCTTCATTTTCTTCAAAAAAATTAGCTTTCTCTTTATCATTGTTGAACCAGCAATCACGTTGTAAATGATTTGAATTTTTGCATTACTTGCACCTAAATCTATAATCTTTAGGTGCATGATTAAATTTCTTACAAATAGTGCATTGAGAGTTAGAGTTACCACTGGAATTTCTTTGACTGTTATAGTCTCTTCCTTTGTTCTGGGATTGAAATGAGGTTCGGCCTCCTCGTCCTTTTTCAGCCATGCTTCTTCTTTGAAATGAATCCTTTCCCTGATTTTCTCGCTTCATGTCTCTAATATTGACTTTGGATTGAAATGCTTGTTTCATTGACTGATTTGTAAATATGTTCATTCTTTGTTCATGTGCCTCGAGAGAACTCATTAGCTTATGTCTAGTAAGTTTAGATAAATCTTTGGATTCCTCTATGGCAGTAACAATATGCTCAAATTTTTGAGGTAAACTTCTTAAAACCTTTTCAACAATTCTCTTGTCATCAAGGTTGTCTCCATAACTTCTAATTTGGTTGACAATTCCAGCAACTCGAGAGAAAAACTCATTAATAGATTCAGTATCCTTCATTGCTAAATTGTCAAAATCTCTCCATAATGTTTGTAGCTTAATGGAGATGACCTTACCAAAACCTTGATATTCACACTTTAATATATCCCAAGCTTCTTTAGATGTTTTTGCACCCATGATTCTATGAAAGATAGATTTCCTTACCCTTCATTGTATGTTGAGAAGAGCACTTGCATCCTTTTTCTTGTTCGTCTTGTACTACTTCTGACATGCTTCTATCCAAGTTGCAAGTTCTTCATCATCTACTGGTGCCTCAAAATCATCTTCAACTAGTTCCCACAAGTCTTGTGAGACAAATAAAGTTTTCATTTGGATGCTCCAATATTCATAGTTCTCTCCCTCAAATATAGGGACGAGAGTTTGTGCATAGTAGAAAGTGGAAGAGCTTGCTTCCATGCTAGAATAGTATTTGAAAGAAGAGGCTTGGAGGCTTTAGAATAGGTGAGGGGAACTTGGCTCTGATACTAAAATTGTTGGGGTGACGAGGTATATTTGATAAGAACTTGGGCAAGCTAGGAAGGGAATTATATAATAATATAAGGTAGAAATGCAAATTAAGAAAACTTATTCATATTATGTTGAGTACAAGTCAAGATTCTTGCATACATACATTTACAATTAGCTCATGGCTTTATATAGAGAACATCATCATCTTAACCTCTTCTAGAAAGGTTCTAGAATGGTTTGATATTTTCCAACATTATTATACATTTCTAGATATTTCTGTCATTATTAAATATCTAGATAGATTATTTCAATCTACTAGATTTTTCTAGATAAATATCTTCATAAATTATTCATTAACTACTCTAAATTTTTCTAGATTACAAATTATATTTTAACAGACACTTTCTTATTTCTTTTTCCAATAAGAAAAAAAAATTCCAGAAAATAAACCCAAACCTTGTACCCTTGAACCATAATTCTAGCAGGTAGTATATGAATGGTCTTTAAAAAATATTCATAAAAAGTTGTTAAGCTCAATAATACAAACCATGGAGTGCACAAGCGTCAAGGCGCTAGCATAAACTTGTATAAAACAAATATCACAAGAGAAAGCTTTTAGCTCAGCATAAATTAAATATATATATATATCACTACAACAAAATACACTTTTAGTGACTAAACTTTCAGTCACCAAAAGTCATTTTTTTAATCGCCAAAGATTTTTGTCGACTAATATTTTTAGTCGCTCATTTGGTCGTTGACAAATTGTCGGCAAAAGAATTGGCGACTAATTTGTTTTTTAGTCACCGAAAGTCGCCAATTAGCGACTAAAAATTTAGTCGCCCAATAGAAAATATTTAGTCGTCAAAAAGAAAATATTTTTAGTCGCTAAAAACGTGACGCTTTTTTGGCTACCAATTTTTTAGTCGCCAAAAACTTTCATTTTTTTGGCTACTAACTGTTTAGTCACCAACAAGTTCCCCTTTTATTTTTTTGCTACTAAATGTTTAGTCGCCAAAAGCTCTATTTATTAATTTTTTTTTTAAAATGCACAAATTGAATATTTTTCAATAATTTTTAGATTACATGCATTTCATTATCAATTATCAATGCAACCTGTAACCTTTACATATACAGAATAATACATCTATCAATTATAATCTAAATCTATTATCAATAATACCTATTTTATTATCAACTATCCAAAAAACTTTAACTTGTATCATATTCCAAATATCATATAAATCCATACCAATAAAGTATAATCCATCTATTTGGTTGTTGACAAATTGTCGGCAAAAGAATTGGCGACTAATTTTTTTTTTAGTCACCGAAAATCGCCAATTAGCGACTAAAAATTTAGTCGCCTAATAGAAAATATTTAGTCGTCAAAAAGAAAATATTTTTAGTCGCTAAAAACGTGATGCTTTTTTGGCTACCAATTTTTTAGTCGCCAAAAACTTTCATTTTTTTGGCTACTAACTGTTTAGTCACCAACAAGTTCCCTTTTTATTTTTTTGCTACTAAATGTTTAGTCGCCAAAAGCTCTATTTATTAATTTTTTTTAAAAAAATGCACAAATTGAATATTTTTCAATAATTTTTAGATTACATGCATTTCATTATCAATTATCAATGCAACCTGTAACCTTTACATATACAGAATAATACATCTATCAATTATAATCTAAATCTATTATCAATAATACCTATTTTATTATCAACTATCCAAAAAACTTTAACTTGTATCATATTCCAAATATCATATAAATCCATACCAATAAAGTATAATCCATCTAAATTAAATATTACATACAAAAATATTGGATTTCCAAAACAGAGGATTGTACAAAAATAAATGTCGTCCATATATAGAACAAATACTATTCATACAAAATAAAGAAATATCCACAATAGCCCACGCAAAAGCAATCTGTAAAAAAAATAAATAAATAAAAAATAACTATTAGCACTTATTCAATAAAATTGACATTTCAAATTATAACAATTATAAAATTAATAATTCTAACTTTCTAACAAAACTATAGGGCTTACGATATCTTCTCCAAACCATAGGGAGGTCAATGTAATT